GTGACAACAATATGTGCATCTGGGTCATTTCTACCGTCTGCTATAAAAACTGCATTATTGAAAGCCACCCTGGTCCAGAGCCATCGAAAGCCTTTAATTGTAAGCCAACTGTGAAAATAACCTTGAGCATTGAATGACGCTGGTGAAAGTCAGGATTGGATGTGCTCCACGCGCTCAGAGGCATGGTGTCAGTGAAGACTCCTAGAGCCATCATGACCTTTCATACAGATCCCTGCTTCTCTTCAGTCTCAGCTGTAGCTCTATCACACCAGCCTGCTGCTCATCTCAGCACAGGAGAAAGACAGAGATGAATGGTGAGAGCTCACCAGTTCTGTTCTAAACCCCAGTGAGCCACCTTACTGTCTACATACATTGGATAGCATGCTATCAGTCAAGGAACCTCCTAACTCACAAAAGACTCAGCATGTTGCTAAGCTAATGACTTTGAAGAAATATTCATAACATTCGAATACTGTTTTTTTAAAACAACATTATGAATTTCATAACTTTTCTATTCTTCAATGCATATGCAGTACTAAATAAAATATAGCTGCAAAATTAATAGTGTAAATGGGGCATCTTTTTGACTTGTTATTTGTTTAAATTGCTTAGAGTTTTTGGTACATTTTCCAAATCTGAAATGGTAACTGAATGGAATTAAAGGCCATATAAGCACAACATAGTATATTACTAAAGGAAGTATACAGTATGCTAGTACTGCATTTTTTTATGGATATTAATACTTCTATTCAGCAAGGATTCATTCAACTGATCAAAAGTGACAGACGTTTATAACGTTACAAGATTCCTATTACAAAAAATACTGTTCTTTTTCATTTCCATTCATCAAAGAATCTTGAAATAAATGCATCAACTGTTTTTAACAGTGATAATAACAATAAGAAATGTTTCTCGAGCATCAAATTATCACATTGGATGATTCCTGAAGAATCATGTGACACTGAAGACTGGAGTAATGATGCTGAAAATTTATCCTTGCCATCACAGGAATAAATTATATTTGACAATATATGAACAATTGTAATAATATTTCACAATATCACAGTTTTTACTGTATTAAATAAATGCAGCCATGTTCAGCAACTTCTTTCTCTTGGAGAGACTTCTTTCATGAACTGCTGTCTAGGTAGGCAGCTCACTAGGGATTGGTACTCCCTCTCCACTCCTGCCACATTTCATCCTCCTTTCGCCCACATCCTCACTAATTAAGTTTTTTCCTTCAGTCTTCCGGTTTTTTTTTCCATGCACATCCATGCTCGAGCATCTCCTCCATCACTCTTCCTGTCCCGCTGTGGCCTCCCTGCTTTGTAATTCACTGTACTTCATATTCTCAATGGTGCTGTCGTGGAGACCATGAGGTCAGAGGTTCCTCACTAGCGGAACTCTGGGTCTTTTCCTGGTATCCGAGGGGCGGTGAGGTCATTCTGCTAACAGCAGCAGCTTCCAGAGACCGCTGCTTTGATTTGACAACTATGACTCAATTTGTAGCTCAATCAACAGCTTGTAAAAGAGGCCCAGGAGGACCAATGAGCACAAACACACACATACAGGATAATCTCTCTATTCTGTTGCCTGGCCCCAGATGCTTCTCTAACTTTACCGCCGCTGTGCCAGGCCTGATTGGTTCCCGGTGCCATCTCAGTAGGGCATGTGCCAACCGCTGTGCCAGATGAGATGCACTGAACACCACCGAGATGCCTTTTTTCAAATGTCACAGAGCTGCTTCTGAGAAAGTCCTGCCAGTTTCCCACAGAATCGACTTCCTGTGACAGCGCTCTCACTTTCCCTTTCTCTCTTGCTCTCTCTCTCTCTCTCTCTCTCTATCTCTCTCTCTCTCTCTCCAGCTGGTGGAGTCATTTATATCCCTGCTGTTACCATACTGCCTCGATCTGGGGCTTCATTGGCCGGTTTATAAATCTGTTGTTTGCTCTACTTTCACACCCAAATAGAGAGGAATACAAAAAGAGATACAGAGAGGAAAGGAAAGGATGCATACACTCTAACAATACAGCAACAAACTGAAAACAAGGCGATAAGAGCGTTTGAATGCGTTGGTATCAGTTGTCATATCGGTTATTTCTGCGTGAGAATTCACAAAACTGGCTGATAGCCTATATCTAACCAAAACATTCATTTCCCACAACCACTAATGATGAATCTTTACTGCATTTCACCAAAGGGACATCATAATTCAACATAATAATAATAAAAAAATCTAATTTAAAACCAGCACAAGCGATTCAGGTGGCGTTTTGCATATATAAACTCTTTCTGTTTCAGTTAAAGGTGCCATAGAATGGAAAACTGTATTTTCCTTGGCATAGTTGAATAATAACAGTTCTAGAGGTCGACTGATATGGGTTTTTCACTGGCCGATGCCGATGTCTATATTTAGAAATCAGGGCAGCCGATGGCCGATATATGATGCCGATTTTTTTGGCCGATATGTTTGCCGATTTTCTTTTTTTCCTTCCCCTTCATCTCATAAAAGTGAGTTCGAGTAAATTATTATTGCAGGATACAAGATAGTAATAGTAGTAGTAGCCTAATTCAGAGTAGTAATTCATGGCTCAAAACTTAAACATCTTCTCAAAACAGTTCTGAAGCATGCTTTTGGTTTATGTTTGCTGACAGACACCAGTGTTTCTCACAGACTTGCTAATGCAAATTCATTCTGCTCTGAGCGGAGATATAGCGGTTTCTCTGGTAACGGCTGTAGTCAAATAAGCGCTACTTTATCAGGCATTACAGGAAAGACGAAATGAAAATGACATAGAAGCTTTTCTGAAAACGGTCGGTTCTTTTCACAGATACATTCATATAAAAACACCCGTGCTGCATTTTAATTTTGAAACGTGCAGTGCTCAGTTTATTCAAGGAAGTATAAGCCTTTTGGAAAATCTATTTGTGGCGGTCCGTCTGTTGTGACGAGCCGCCACAAATAACTCAATGTATGGGAAACACTGAACACTTCTATAAGTCAAATGGCCAAGTGATAACAAAAAGTAAAAGAGTTCACACATATTACACAGCCTGCTGCTCATAACTGCTTAAGAGTGCGCTGGCCACGAGTGATGACATCGTGGAGGCTATTGTCGGACCCACACACACATTTCACGAGGAAAGTTATCGTGCACATTATAATCAGCCCAGAAGTTTCGTCTGAATTGCATATGTTTCTACTTTCACATGCAAATGACTTGCACTTATGAATATGATACCGTTATTACCGTTTCGAAACGGTTTGTTTTGCCCTGCCATCATTAGCTGAAGCTGTGTGTGAACAAGAAGCGACTGCAGAGTGTGAGCTGCTCCGTCTCACGCAGCCAGAGAGAGATTCTCCGGCATTCCACAACAACGCTTAGCTGCCCGCAGATGCGCCTGCCTATAAATCGGCCTAATCTGCAGCACAATCGGCCGATGCCGATTAATAAAAAAATGTCAAAAATCATCCGGCCGATCAATCGGTCCTACCGTGAGCCTCAAACACCATTGTTTCCTCCTTATGTAAATCTCGTGCATGCTAAAGACCACTGAAAAATAGGCGAATCAGAACATAACACAGACTGTGACGTTACAGTTGGGATCCCTAATAGTTACGCCCCCAACATTTGCATATACCCGCCCATGTTCTATGCCAGCCGCCAGCCGAACCTGCACAGCCGAATCATCAGAAGTTCTGCAGGTATTGTGAAGAAACAAGTGAGGATAATAGCGAAAATGGCAGATCATGGAAATAAATGTTATGTTCCAGGTTGTGCAAGGGATGTGATGTGCAGGGATGGGTTGGTGTCTGTATTCAGAAAGGCACGGAAAACAAATAACGCGCGTTCTAATAAAATAACGCGAGCCACTAAAGGGACATAGTTAGCTGCTTGCTAGCGGTAGCCTGTTACATTACAGTACATAAGATTTCACTTACCACATAAACAGAGTAAGGAGAGATGACTGAGGATGATGGCGAATGATTTACAGATCCTGAGCACCACTGACAAGCATCTGATCTTGTAAAATGTGGTAAGTACTGCCGCTGTAGTTTACACTGAGCACGTGCGATCGCAAATCTCAAAAGTGAAAGTAAAAAGCATCATGCATTCTAAAGCAGTTTCAATGCCCCGTATATTAATAGCGGCTCCCTGATGGCCACATTTTATATAATTACCCAACGATATAACTGCGAGAGAAAGTATTGAAATATATGTTTTCCCTGTGTTTCCTTCCTGCTGTGTGAGCTACTGAAATGAGCCGCACTGTGAAACAGCCAATAAGAGCAGAGCTCAACATTGCACCGCACTGTGAAACAACCAATCAGAGCAGAGCTCAACATTATTATTCATGACCCTTCCAAATAAGGTAAAAACAGACCATTTCATTCTAGGGACAAATCCGAGGGTTGTAAATGGACATGTAAAACCGTTTCTGGAGATTTTTTGCCCTTACCTATGCCACATACTTTCTATGTAGATATCAGAGAACAATTTAAAATATTGTATCAATGCATTCTATGACACCTTTAAGCTCTATTGACAGCATGCTATCAGTTACCACAGAAAATAATTTTAACAATGCATTTACAATTTAAAAAAAAGCATATACAGTATAGGCTAGAAATTATATGCATGCTTTCTTTTATTGGACTTGTATTATCTCACAATGGTGAACCCTCCAAAATAAAATAATAATAATAATCAGAAAAACAAATATGACAACATTAATAATAATAAAAATAATAATAATATAAAAAATTATTAGGTCATGTCAAATTCACAGCACCACGCTTGCCACTATTTTAGACAGATAAATTATGCTATTTTCCATAATGTTTTATAACAGGCTATTATTTGTTCCCAAAACAAAATAAAACAAAAAACAATAGGTGCATGATGCCACTGAGGCCTAAATGATTTTCTGTGGTAATATGGAGCTTAACTTGTATTAAATATTTCTTGGTATATTGCCAGGTTGGCGACATCACTTACCGGCTCCACACGGTCGTAGCCGCCATCAGTTTTCTCTGTCTTAATTCCCGGCATCTTACTGCCCTCCACCTTTATTTCTCCAGGTTCCATCTTGCCTTTATCCTTAAGAACATTATCATCTTTATCCAGTAGGTAGCGCAGCAGGGCATTGTCCTTCTTCTTGGGGCTGACGGGCTCTTGTTTAATGGCTAATTCAGCCCCACCGGCCGCCCCACCTGCAGAATCCTGAGACAGCTCCTTCCCCGTGGCCTCGGCTGTGAGTTTGGCCAGGTCGACGGGCGACGAGCTATTCTGGAGAAGTCTATGAAGGATCTTGTGCTTCTCCTTCAAGGAGGTAGCATGTGACCCGGCTCCAGTTTGAGCACCCATGCCGCCATTCCCTAGGCCGCCAGTGGGGTCCTTACACCCGGGCTCTCCACTAGCCATTGGAGGGGGTGAGGTGGACTCGATAGGCTCAGTTTTAGTGGTGAGGAGCTGCAGGAGTTTAGTATGGCCTTTGTTGTCACGTAGCCGGTTCTGCGGATCACTGGCATCCGGGGTGTTAAACTGGCTGAGGTTACCCTTTTCGTCTCTTTGCTGTTCAATGCCATCGTCCTGCCCGCTGTTACCCTGCTCTGATTGGTTCTGCTCTCCGAATGACTCTGAGGCTCCCATTTTGTTCAACATGTGAAGATTGATGCCCAATGAGGCTGGTGACCCCAATTTCCTGTCGGGCGAGCCCAGCGATTGGCCGTGGCTCACGCCGTGGCACTCACTAAGTGCCTGGAGGGCATTAAGGGAACTGCTTGTGTAACCATGGTTACTGCCTGCTCCCCCATTGCCACCTGTACTGCTAGTGCACATGCTCGCAGGTGAATGTAAGCTGCCTGCTGGGGAGAACTGCGGTGGGGGCAAGCGTGGAGATCCTGCCACTCCAGGACTGGCTCGGTGGCGTGGAGAAAGCATGCCCGGACTGCCCTGAGACGGGCTGCTCAACTTCAGTGGATAGCCACTGCCCTGAGGGGTGGCCGCCTGCATGGTTGCCGAATGGCTCATGGTTCCCGGGCACCCGAAACGGTGGCCCTGTACTGGGCCGATGGCACTGGGCTCCTTCTGGCCACCAGGGGAGGGGAAAGTGGATGTGTTACTGCTGATGGTGGCATCCTGTCCCTGGGGGGCGCTGGAGGAACCTGCTGTGTTGGGAGAGCTCATGGGGTTCATGGTTTTGCCCATATTCTGAGCATTTCCAAGATCAGGGGTCATGCCACAGACGGGCTGCTCCCTAAAACAGAAAAAAAAGACATTTATAGTTGCTAATAGGTAATCTAAAGAGCAAATAATGCTGCAACATACACGCCACACACATAGCACAAACATAGTTTTATTTATGAATTTAACGATTGCAAGCCTGATGTATCACAAGCATAAAATTCATAATTAGGGAACATAATAAAGGTCATTGTTACTATTGTTAATCAGAACTAAAATTATTAAAAATCTGTAATTGAAAATTCAGTAACTGAAGGTTGGTAATTGAAATAAAGCTGGAAGAAAAAAGAAAGAAAAAAAACTTAAACTTTATTAGACATGTTGCCTTGGCAACTAATTGAAATAAATAATTTTAAGTACTAAATTACTAAAACTAATAACGCATTAAAAAAATTTATGAAAGTTAAATATAAAATATTTTAAAAAATCAATAAAAATGACAAAAGTTCATCATAAGGTTAAGGAAAAAGAATAATAATAAAATGAAAATTTAATACACATAAAAAGCTAAATTAAATTATTAATAAGTACTATAATAGTATATAAATGATACTAAAATAAGCCATTTGAATAAATCCTTAACGCTAAGTTTTAAAATTTGGTGCATATCTTATCCTATACCATTTAATGCACAAAAAAATCCCTCAGACTAACACTGAAAGAGGGACCCAAAGGGCCAATTAAGAAATCACAGAGCAACCATCCCGAACACAAAGCCCTAGCAACCATTTATCAAATAAGCTAAAAACACTTGGCAACCACATATCATTGCCCTGGTGACAATTCCCTGGCATAGTTTTAATGTCATGCAAACATTTTGTTTAATTATTGTAAAAAGAAAGAGACATAAAGCAAGAGAAGAAGTAGGAAAAAAGTGAGAGGAAAAAAGGGCATAAAAACAAAAACAGAAAACAATGCCTCAGGCAGGGCATGCCTGTCTCACCAGGTTGGCACTTGCTACTGTTGACAATGGTGTTTTAATTGTGATCCAAGGAATTAATATTGATTTCCAAGTAAATTCTATTGAAACTATTTCATTACATTAATCCAGTGCAGTCATTTGTTAAATTAATCTCGTAGTCAGGAAGCGGTTCTTCTAGCGCTCCAAACAAGGAATCCGAGAAAAGAGCTTAAGCTGAATTTCAGGAATGGCTTAATTAACTAAAGTATGTTTCAGCAGAGAAGGTTAAAAGAGGGGAACAAATTATTATCAAAGAAAAACAGCAGTGCTCATCCCTCAAAACAAGCCACGGGACAGAGAAAATGAGTGGCTGTGCTGTCGTATCACCCTCTAATGTAAAAATCACCTCGGGGTATAAAGCTTTTAGCAAGCTACATACTAAAAACTCGCTCAGAGCTGATAAATGCATAGAGATGCCTTTGTTCGGAGCATGCAGGATGAATAAATGGTCAAGCTATACTGTGTTATTGTGCTAGAGATGCTGTGCTTTAAGACAGCCACCCTCCCGCTGTGAGCTCACTCTGGGTTTAATGTTTATCTGCGCTCGACACCCCAGCCTAACACTTCTGCTATTGTCTCAGAAAGCAAATCGGTGTTCCTGCATCGCATGCTGTGAGAGAGATAGAAACTCTGTAGCTAACATATAAAAACTGTGTTCACAACTGCCTGCTGTGGAGCCAAGCTTTACGAAGCCATACACTCCAAATGTTTTGATTTTATGTGAAACTGTGATATCTGACTTTACTGAATGATGCTCTAAAGGGGGAAAAAAATCTGTAATTTACTCAACTTCATTTTGTTCCAAACTTGCATGAATTTCTTTTGTGGAACAGAAAAGGAGAAATTCAGAAGAATATCTTGGTTGCTCTTTTCCATGCAATTACTGCGAATGGGGACTGAAGCTTTCAAGGTTCAAAAAGTATGTAAAGCCTCATACAAGTGGTCTATATAAATTGTGAGCACTGACATACGTTTTACGAAGTCATATGATAGCTTTGTGTGAGAAAATGTAAGTCGTTATTAACTGATAATCTACCCCTCCAATGATTTATTAACTGCTGTGACCGAATCAGCGAGTTTGTGAGTTGAATTCGAGAACCAGATCAAGTCTAATTCATGAAGGAATTATTCAGTGATCATTTGTGAAATGGACCAATGATTCACTCAAAAGAATGACTCGTTCACAAATTGGACATTGCTGCGTCTCCCATGAACTCTCATGAAAAATGGTCTTTTGGTCGGTTCCTCCTTGTATGGCTTCAGAACACTTGATTTTTTGCATTATTTTTGAAGCTTGAAGCTCCAGACGCACTGTAACTGCATGGAAAAGAGCCAATATTTTAAACATTTTCTTCTTTCGTATTCCACGAAAATAAAAAAAGTCATGTTTGGAACGTCTTCATTTTTGGGTGAACTTTCCCTTTAACATTGGAATCATTCGTATTCAATTACTCCATACTTAATTATATCAGCAATCAAATTCTGAGGAATTATCAAGGGTGAAAAAGCTTGTTAGCCAATGTGTAGCTGTGGGAGTCGTGTTATTCTTGGTTCTGATGGAATGTTTCGAGACCATCATCGGCCCCCTCTGGGAAAACATGGTCGGATGTTCTCACATGACAGTGAGATTTCAGTATATGGTCATTAACTGGGCTTGTCAGAACTAGAAAGCGTGTGTTTCAACTGACTGCTTACACAGAGCTGAATCAAACAACAAACAGTGAGAAGTGGGTCAAAAATGACTCAAACACTTACTCATGTAGTAGCTCATAAAATACACCATTGCATTTACATTAAAAACTCAGATTCAGACATAAACAGAAACAAAACAACTCAAGTGCAGGCACTCATGGCAAGCTGTGCAGCTGGGTAGTGGGTACCTTTGTAAAATGTGCAGTGACATGTAGAGCTGTGGCTCGTTGGTAGCAGGTGACCGAACCAGTTTGCTCTTGGTGTGAGCTGAGACGATGGTCCCGTCGGACAGGGAAAACCGGTAGATGGGACTGAAAGCCTGCCCATGCCTCAGCACTGCAAAACAACACACCCACATGATTAAAACATCATCATTTTGAGATATGTAAATGTACATTAAAGAACATTGAAACAAACAACATCTAAATTAGATCAAGATAATAGTCACTATTAAACATAAACCCATATAATTCCTGTAAAATTGCAAGATTAACCTTTCCAGTAAAGAAGCCGCATGCATTACTCACACACACTTTGCTATATTTTCACACACCACAATTATTTTTTGTTTGCTACAATATGAAAAATACTGAAATACAGTAATGTCTACTATATTTCCCTAATGGCAATATTCTCTATAGATCTTGATATTTATCCATTTATCCATGATTTAAAGATTGCATTATTGCAACTGAGATTCATAAAACATTTTTTAAATGTCTGTCTTGCATTCTCAGCAAAGCAAGTCATGACATAATGAGTGTGTGTGAAACTGGTTTGCCAGCAGAAGCCAAATCCAAGGTGTGTTAAAATCCTTATGGTATTCAGAATATTTGGTAGTTACTATAGTAAATATTTGCATGCACAATACAATAGCCAAAATGACAGCGTTTCTTAAGTGTTAAAGGGGTCCTATTATGCTTTTTCAACTTTAGTTAGCCTGTAATGTTGCTGTTTGAGCATAAAAAAGATCTGCAAAGTTACAAAGTTCAAAGACAACTTCAAAAGGAGATATTTTATTTAACATTTTTAAAAAACTACAACGAATGACTCGTTTGGACTACAACGCATATTTTCCGGGATTTGTGATATTACAAATATTGACGAATGGGACGAGACCTGGTTGAGCTGCACTAGAGAAGGCAACGAGTGTTATCACTATGTCGGAGACACGCTAGCTTTCCCAAGGCAGACAAACTTAGAATGGTTACAATAATCAGGGTTTAAATCGTGCTCAAATTGATTTGATTTTGATGCAATATTTACACTGAAGCTCGCACTTACTATGGTAAAGGGCATGACATTTCCTGACCAGGCGCCGAGTGCTGCCAATCACAGCACACAATGGCCCAGCTAACCAATCACAGCACATTTCATGTTTCAGAAGGCGGGCTTTCATTTGATACAGGAACTAATCGAGCCATTCATGCCAGACTGAGGAGAGGGGTGTTGTAATAATGTAAAATAAGTGAAAAATAATGTGTTTCCTAGTATGAGAGCCTGTTATAGAACACCCCCAAAACAAAATCAAGACTTTGTCAAAGAGCATAATAGGACCCCTTTAAATGGATTAATGTGAGATGTGCTCAGTACCTTCTTGCTGATGCCGCTTGGCAAATGACATTTCTCCATCGTTTTGGAGATGAAAGCGCTGAATGCATCTCCGCACCAAGTCTTCCCAGCCAGGTTTCATAGAGGCTCGTAACAGACTGGTGTCCAGGGAGGTGATCTTACCTACAAACACACAGTATAGCAATAAACAATATGGTTTGGTTTTGTCTGCGACAAGTTGTCTGTTTTCAAGCTTAAATCTTAAATGTATTAATGCAAAGAATTTTTAAGCACATCTAAAGCTGATCTGCAAAGCAAAATTTTTATATATGTATTGACACTATTTTAAGTGAAAGTGAAGTGACATGTGGCCAATTATGGTGAATCTGTGCTCTGCATTTAACCCATCCAAGTGCACACACACAGCAGTGAACACACACCGTGAAGGGCAGCTAATGCTGCGGCGCCCGGGGAGCAGTTGGGGGTTTAGTGCCTTGCTCAAGGGTCTCACCTCAGTCGTGGTATTGGGGTGGAAGAGAGCGCTGTACATTCGCTCCCCCCACCGACAATCCCTGCCGGACCTGAGACTCGAACCCGCAACCTTTATGGGATTACATCTCTGCCACAATTCTGAATTTTCAAAAGTGCGTTTTGCACGAGCTCGAACTGAGTTTTGTGGAGAAAATGTTTTTCTCGCAAAGAAGAAAGTATTAAGAGCGCACAAAAATCTATTTTGCATTTAAAATAAGGTTTTGGATGTGTGCAGAGGCTGGAAGTGAAAAATGTCTTCTATTCAGGTGTGCATAATTATTAAGCAGATTTTCTTTTACAGATAAAATGAGCCAAAAAAAGAGATTTAACTCAGACTGAAACAGTCAAAAATTATTAAATGCCCATGAGAAAAGTTCAAAACTAATACAATACTAGAAATTGAAAAGTTAATGCATAACCATTGGACAGCAAAATGCTTAGTGGGTCAGCAGGGTCAGTCAAAAACATGTGGAGGATGCATGTTAACTGCAAAATAATTAGGAAGATAAGAATTTATCTTCAAGAATCTGGCAGTTTTGGGAGTTAATTTTTAGTCCATCTCGAGATTTTATCTGTAGAAGATAACCTGCTTAATAATTATGTACACCTGAAAATAAGGCATTTTTCACTTCCAGCCTTCATGAACAATAATATATAGGTTATAAGGGATTAAATACAAGATTAATAGCAGTTATTAAGATTGATGTTGTTTGGAATTGGTAAAATGTGCTTGGAAAAAAATATAATCAGAATATCAACTTGGATAATAATTATGCATGCACTGTACAGTATTTTCCCTATTCTGCTGTCATCAGCAATGCAAGGAATGTTGTGATTGGTTGTCAAGGCAGCCAATCAGAATTTAGCAGCCTCGTCTCTGATTGGCTGGAACTATGGCATATTGTAACGCTGGGTTGTGTTGAGCAAGCGAGCCGTTGGCATTTAGAGAACACTGAAGGCGGGCATCAGGTGAGCAAGCTAGTGAAACTTTGCACATGCAAAAGAGAAGGACTGCACACATCCAAAAACTTATTTTACATGCAAAATTGATTTTAGTGTGCTCAAAATACTTTTTTCTTTGTGAAAGAACATTTTCTCCACAAAACTCAGATCGCCCGCGTGCAAAATGCACTTTTGTGCGCTCAAAATATGATCTTTCGCACGCAGAATTGTGGCAGAGATCTAATATATAAACCTTCGGGTTACAAGTCCGACTCTCTAACCATTAGGCCACGACTACTTATGAATCAGACTTCCTTAAGTGTTTCATTAATCGCAGAAGTTTAATACTTAGGGTTATGGACTTAGAATAAACCCCTAAGCATCACGACTGAGGAATATCGAACATTAATTTGTAAGAACCGTGACCAAAAAAAACACATCCAAAAACTTATTTTACATGCAAAATTGATTTTAGTGTGCTCAAAATACTTTTTTCTTTGTGAAAGAACATTTTCTCCACAAAACTCAGATCGCCCGCGTGCAAAATGCACTTTTGTGCGCTCAAAATATGATCTTTCGCACGCAGAGATCTAATATATAAACCTTCGGGTTACAAGTCCGACTCTCTAACCATTAGGCCATGACTACTTATGACTCAGACTTCCTTAAGTGTTTCATTAACCGCAGAAGTTTAATACTTAGGGTTATGGACTTAGAATAAACCCCTAAGCATCACGACTGAGGAATATCGAACATTAATTTGTAAGAACCGTGACCAAAAAAAAACAAAGTATGATAGAAACATCTCAGCTCTGTAATTTGCTCATTTACAATAAACAGAAAACTGGGAGTTTCCATCAAGTAGCCACATCAGAATGTGACAAACGGTGTGGCTGGTGTGACCGTAAAAAACCTTCGATCTTCCCATTGTGTGATCTCCCTGTCCAGATGCCTATAGTACGTTTATAATACTCATAACTCAGAACTCAGACAGATATACAGTTGCATTGTGAGACGACTTGCGTTCCCTCGTTCACGAATGACCAGAATGGTGCATAAACCTAATTACTAGCTATATAAATAACAGTGACTTGACCTGACCTGACTATTATTCAAATGAAGGGGGCAGATTTTAAACCAAGAGGTTTTGAAGAAAAGTATGAATAAATAACTAAAAAGTTTTAAGTAAATAATTTATTTAAAGAAAATTATAGCTGTAATATGTATAACTGTAATAAAATCTATACTAATAATATCCTCTTTTACAGACAATGAAAAGTTGAGGTGGTCAATGGCTGTTCAGTTGCAATGTGTGACTGTATGTAAATATAATATATTAACATGGAGCTACACTCACTCTAATTTAAATAACTTAATAAAAATAGTTGTTTTCTTTGGTCACATCTAATTTCACCTAAAAAAAAAAAGAAATCTCATGAATCATGAGAGAGCCCTTCAAATGTTTACACTGTAAAACTGGACGCCAAGTCATATTCATGTCATTAAACAGTCTTTCCAAGTTTAAGTCAGTATCTTCTGTTTTAAACGAGGGGCTGTGCATTGAGATGAGTGCTAACTGTGATGTAAACTCCCTTTGAAGAGTGTAAGCGGAGAGAGGAGTTGTGTTGGCATGGTTACCTTGAAGGTCTTGGCGGGTGGTGAAGCTTTCGTGTGTGGGGAGCATGGGTCTCTCTTTCATGGGTACTCTCCGCGCTACGCAGATCAGACACGACTGGAAATCTACAGTCAGAGAGAGAGAGAAAAAGATCAGATCAGTGATAACAGATTATTAAAGCGTTCTGAAGGGTGCTTCTGAATGATGAGGCATCGGTTCTGTGTGTTGAGGGGGCGGTGCGGAGTGGAGCGTGGGGTGATATGATGGAATGTGACCTTTCGTTTGTGTGTCACTGTGGAGGCTGACCCTGCTGTGCTGCTCCCATGGAGACTAAGTTAGAAAAGTCATCCCTCATCCACCCACAAAAAGATCATAAGAGAATCATAACATCTCCAACAGTCTGACACATCAGACGCATACATGATCAGGAATAATAAACAAGAACACTGCAAGTAACCGTAATGAGTTCATTCAGTGAAGAATTTGTCAGAATTTGAGTCAAAACTGTAACTTCTGCATTTTTTGAATGATTGATTAAAAAAATGTCTTATTATTGTGTCAACTGAGTCCTTGTTTATGAATCAGACTACAGTTCATGAATGCATTCTGCTGTTGCTAATGACATGTTCTACTTTTTGAGCTACGGGTCATGATGTTTATATCAAGTTGATGTGAACAGGCCTTTACATGCAAACACATGGCTGTTGCAGAGCCCCTTGGGTGGTCTTCACTCCAAACTGCATGAAGACCCAGCATCAATGTCTCTGCAATAAACTCTCTCTGATACCCCTCTCCTCATACACATTCCTCCTCCAGCCGTCTTTCTCTGTCTCCTGCGCCAGGGTGAGCTGGCTGGCTGAAAGAGCAGCTGGCACACAGCTAACACCGACGGGCCATAAAGAGAGACGCTCCATCACTCAACACACCAACAGTACCCAGAAAAAAATGAAACATTATGTGTGTGCATGTGAGGGAGAGAAAGAGAGAGAGAGAGAGAGAGAGAGAGAGAGAGAGAGAGAGAGAAAGAGAGAGGAATACCAATGCTAAACATCTCTCACTGCCTCGCACTCGCTGTTACACACACACACACACACACACTCTTAAACCCCAGCCAGGGCCAAAACCAAAGCCGTGTTGATCCAGTAGAGAAGTGGGTCTCAAATGCACCCTGAACTCTGGGTGACTCCGAGAGGTGGAAGAGGAGGAGGAGAGAAAAGAGCAAATGAATCACAGACTGAAACATTTCTCGGGGTGGGACGCAGATGCACGTTCCACGAGCGCTGCTGTCGCCTTTTCGCCTTATTTTTCAGTAACTGGAAGACAAATTTTTCTCACGTCAGGAATGACTGTCAACACTAAATGTTGCTTCTACATTAGCAGAGCAACTGAAACTTAAAGAGACTGAATACTTACTATTGTTCTCATTTGGATCACACCTTAAGATTTGAGGTGGACAAAAAAAAATACTTTTTTAATATTTCACAACACCTAACTGATATCCTAATGACAACAAACAAGACTAGCTAGATTTTTCAGATAGCAAGTCAGATCAACACAAATTCAAATAATTTCTATTTGGCCACACATTCGTAATAAGGTAAGTATAAGTCCATAAAGGACCTTCAAGGCACAGTTTGGTAAACCGCAAGGAATTTTTTTATGATATTATGACTATCAAATGAGGTACACTATTTCTGCTCAGCACTCGTTGCACAAAGCAACAAGGTGACAAAGAATGCATTCAAATACTATATTATTGTATTGCAGCTGATAAACCAATGTAATATTGTATTGTCAGGCCCAAACACAATCTCATTCCTATTGATGAAGTTTCTTTTATTTAATTGGTCTACTTTCTGTGCCATCCTATTTCTCAGAATACGGTCAGCGAGTCACCAAACGTAGTGTCTCAATACAACAGTATAGCGACGCTATCAGATTATAATACCATGGAACTCTGATATATACCATGGTACTGAATTATTACAGAATTATCATGCCACTACAAAGTTCTGCAAAGAATACTGTGATACCTTGGTAGACTACAGGTCAACAGTTTAGGGTAAGTAATAAATAAATTAATCATTTTATTCAGAAAATATGCATTAAATTGCAAAAAAGAAATTGACAGTAAATGCTCATGTTTTCTAGTCAACAAAAAATTTCGAATAAAAAGTGTTTCTACAAAATGCAAAGCAACTGTTGCTAATTAATAAGAAATGTTTCTTAAACACCAAATTGGCATATTAGAATGATTTCTAAAGGATCGTGTGCTGAGAATTCAGCTTTGCCATAGCAGGAATAAATTACATTTTTAAAATATATTCAAATAGAAAACAGTTATTTTAAATTGTAATAATATTTCACCATATTACTGTTTTACTGTGTTTTTGATCAAATAAATGCAGCCTTGATGAGCATAAGAGACTTCTTTCAAAAACATTGAAAAAACCATCTTACCAACCCCAAACTTTTGAATGGTAGTGCATGTTAAATTACTACTGCCCTTTATAGTAACAAGACCACAAAATGACAGCAACTAACGACAACTGTAGATAAGGACAATTTCCATCCACTGGAACCAAAGTCTTTTGAAAACTATAGGTTATAATCTGCTCTTTTGTGGCAAGCTTGACAAATGAACGCCCGGCTCTATGAAAGGGGAGTAGTCACTTTGCTTGGCTGAAGCCTCCTGCTCTGCTTTGATGCATTAAATCTAGAGTTTCAGTACCGTTTATGTGGCTTAAGTGTGTTTTAAGAAACCATGGCTCACCCTCTCCCTCCTCCTTGATGGACTTTGGTTCAGACACAGCAAAACACTGCATAGTCTCATATTTCTGCTGTGCCTCGTGATCCTGCGCCTCTTCGGCCTCGCTGTGAGGGTTAACCAGCATGCGGCAGTTGAAGGTGTGGCTGTTCCTCCGAGGATTCTCGCTGGACCACGGCACTCCGTTTACTGTGGGAGGGAGGTGAAAAGACATCATTCACTGTCACTCATTTGAATCAGCATTGCCTAACTTTTCCTTACTGAATAAAGGGGGGTTCGCACTGATGGTGATTTACAGTGGCAAGGGACTGGAAGTCATTAATTTTCAATGAGAGCTGGTGATGTGAAGCAGCATGAGACAAAATTTTAAGTTTATATTAAAAAAATTGCACTAAATCAATGACTTCCAAAGGGAGTGCGCACGTGATCCGCCTGTCACTCATGTTGCTTCAGGATATTGCAGTGAACTTCGGTGATTTAACTGGTGTTAGTAGCTATGTTTCGATCTACGTTTCAAATAGAATATTTGCAAAAACAATTTGCGAATAAAGGCCGTTTCACACTGAGCGCGATGCGAAAAAGCGAGGTGAATCGCCGACGAACTGTGCTTTCACACCGAGCACGAAACGATTGATCGCCTTCTGCTAATTCACGCCTGCACGCTAGGTGGTGCCGACCAGCAATGCATTTTTACTCAGATATGTATCTCATATGGATTTAACATCGTCCACTGCTCAATATACAGCATTAAATATAGCTAAATAAAGTTTGGTTCTATGCCAGAAACACAAGCGATCTATAATGCTTACAAGAAAACATCTTAAAATATAAATATAAGTACAATTAGCATCAAGCCACATTTGAAAATGTATGTGATTATTGTTTTTGCTAAAAACCCACTTTAAACCATCATCGAGTGCTTGTAATAACTTCCGATTGTGATCTATCGTTGATTTTGATTCTATAATAGGCAGACAGCCTACAAAGAGTGCATATGTTTAATAACGCCACACTGCTTATTGTCATAAACATCCTTTATTGTTATAAAATTACCATGAGCTGCATACAAAACACATACAGAAAATATATTGTCATAATCATGTATATTTGCTTTCATATTTCATGTGTAGAAAAATGTTTCACTCGTTTTTTCAAGAGGTCCTCGCTGCAGCCTGTAGTACGATGACGTAGCTGGATCAGATCCAATACGTATTGGATGTTTGACGAGCATGCTCAGTATTGGATTTTAATGTGCATGCGCAAAGTGGGGCTGTCATTGAAGCTAGCATTTAATGTAAATTAAACTGTAATTACGAGATATAGGTGTTTCATAGGCTTACACAAATTATATTATACTGTGATTTTAAACTAGTAGTGTATTCAAACTTTATTTGAGCAATGATGGCGTTTTGAATGAAAGGGTATGTAAGCTATGTTTATTTTTTATTAGTTTGATTCGTTTTAGAAATAAAACTCAAAATGCTTACAATTTAGCTTGTTCTTTATGAAAAAAAATGGGGTGTAACTATCGTCTTTATTTTTTCCTCTGATAGTCAAGTCAAGATAGTTAGATAGTTCTGTCAAAAATTCATTCATGAATCAAATATTATTTTTCGTTCTCACTCTCTGTGCTATACGTGACAGAGTATAAAAATAGTTATAGGCCTACTAAAATATGCGGACATAATTTTTATACCATATACAAATAAAAAGAAGGAAACCAATCCTGTCAGTCGGGGTTCCGTATAGCCGACAGACCCGTTATCCCGGGTTATATCGGGGTTTTACAGTTAATCCCATGTCCAGCAAATAAATACACACACGGGACAAGGCATATTAACACAAAGATGACCATTTCTTTTTTGTGTGTTAGGCCTATATGCAAGTGAAATCCCTGGAGATAGATAGACCAGTTATAAATGGCTAAAGACATAAACCATCCATTCCTATCGCTCTCGCTCTCTCTCTCTCTCTCTAGCTATATTAGAATAATATAAAATCTAAGTAAACAAAATGGATCGGCAGTAATCTAATATCCCCAATTAAATGACGGATAGAATCAAAAAGACATTTAGGCTAACTCTGATAGAGTGAAGTATATCTTAATAATTAGCTATTTATAGTGCAATGTCTGCATATCAGTCATGTTACAGTGCTTGTTGCGTCCTGGCGATAATATATGAATTGCAGGCTATTCAAAAAATAAATAATGATGAATTGCAGGCTATTTAAAA